CTGTATACATGAAAATTCAGTATTCAAGTTAAAAATAAATTAAGATAGTGAATGAGACATCAATAAATTTACTTAGCCGCATTTGCTAAAGTTAATATCAGTTTTTACTTTCAAAATTCATTAATATAAAAAACAAAAATCAGAATTTTAAAGTAAAGAGGGAGAAATTATTTTTTTAAAAATAATTCTTTTTTTGATAAATAATAAGTGTAAGATAATGAAGCTAATATGTATTGTTTTATATTACATTACAAATACAATTTTTCTAGATGATTCTATTATTTAAGAAAATTAAAGAGCAGAAAAATAAATTTAAGAAAAATCCAAGATGACTGTGTACACTTGAAATAAGAATATCCAATATTGTTTGACGAAAATTTTGTCTTTGATCAAATTAATTCTAAAATTTTCAAACATTTTTTTGAAAAAAATTTATGATTTTTGAATTCATTACGATTTCCAATAACTTCACCTATCTAACTATCTTACAATGCAGTCTTACCAATATTATGGTAATTAAATATTTACCCTAACAAATCTATTAATCCTAAACTACTTTTAAAACTCTTAAATATTGCGGGAAACAAAGTTTGAAACTTCTCATTATTTATCAAATCACAATCCATATTTTAAATAATATAGATTCGCATGTGTGCATACATGTATGAATGTACATAATATGTAATATAAACTTCTTAGGCATTGTTTCTTGTCTGCAATTTAATTTGTTCCTTGTTATTTAAGAATTTAACGAAAAACTTCCGGAACTTCCTTTGCATTGCAATTATTAAAATATGTATACATATGTATATACTATATGTTTGTAATACAATGCTCATAGCACCTTATTTCCAATTATTATTCTTATAATGCATTATGCGCTGTTGCTGCTACTGTTTTTTTTTTTTCATTTTTTAAATTCTTTAACAATAAAATCATCTTTTTCTTACAAAAAATTCATTTTTTTTTTTGTTTCTTCATTTAATATAGAATAGAATTCGTGACCGCAATGGTCAATGAACATTTAGTCTGAATGTCTGGAGCATTAATGAATTTTCGTTTACAATATTATATCTATTTTTCTTTTTTGCACAGTATTGAGAATTTTTAAGCAGAAAATTTAATGGATTTTACAACTTCGATTCAAGTTTCATTTGAACAAACCACACATGATTTTATTTTCTTAAGTTTAAGCTTGATTTCGCGTTGTTACTTTTTTTTTTTGATTTTATAAATATGTATGTACTTACTATACATGTTTTTACTTTTTTATTCTTGATTAATTATTCTGAAAAAAAAAATCCATCTACGTATAAAAGAATTAAAAATATAATCTAAGCGAACCATAAATGGTGAAAAAAGAAAAATTGTTTTATTCTATTCACGACTAAAATTTTTCTATACTTGTATAAAAAATGAATTTTCTCAAGATAGAGTTGTTAAGTAAAAAAATATTATACTATATGTAGGTATTTGGTTTTTTGATGAGTTGTTTGTATTGATTTGTGGTGGCAAACCACTTTATTTTGTTTATTTTATAATAGTAACCATTTTTAGAAATTTCTACCTAATACAAAACAAAAAATAAAATAAAAATTTATCGCCGTCATACATACATACATACATTCGCGATGAATCTTTTTTAAAAATGTTCTTGAACTTATTTTTGTTATTTTTGCTATTTTTTTTTTAATAAAAGTGGCAAAATCATGTTTAATAGTTATAAAGTAAAATTAATTAATTGGAATTATTTTCTTTTTCAATCAAATAAAAGAAAGGCTAAGCAAATTCTCTAAAATTTTGCAAAATTATACTAAAAAATTCTAATTTTTTTTTAACAACATCCGGCGAATTTCATTCTGATTATTTCTTTTGAATTTCTCAAATAATTTAATGGATATTGTTCAAAAAATTATGATTTTTTCTTTTCTTTTTTTTTTGGAATAAAATAAAAATTTATAAAAGGAAAGGTTTCAATTCGTATAAATTAATAACGTTTTAAAATTTTCACAAGATTTCTTCAAAATAATTATTTATTTAATTTTATATAACAGAAAGCCAATCAATGTATACTAATGTTATCTATTGATAATGATTTTAATTATTTAATCCCATATAATTTTAAAAATTAATTCAAATAATTAAATACAAAACAGTTTCAAATCCATAAATTTTAAATGAATAACAAAATCTACTGTGAATGAAAGTTCAATGAATTTTCGCAGAAAATGTGAATATAGGTACATAAGCAAAAATAAAATAACCCCTTCAAAATTCTACTAAACACTTTATTGAATTATAATCAACCAAAATATGGTATATAAAATATATATTTATATGCAGTTAATAATTTTGTGGCTTATTTATTTACATACATAGGTACATTTATTATATAACATAATTTTGTTTATTCTTTTATGATTCATCGAAATTCACTGAATGCAAAATAAACCATTACACTACATAATCCATTAAGTTTTCTTATTAAATTTAATATGCATAATTGCACAATATATGTACATGCATATATACCTACTTATATATATTATATAATCTGATATGTACAAAAGTTAGCAGTCATATATGTATATATAACATACTTTTCATATTTACATACCTATAGGTATACAATATATATATATATATATATATATTTATGAATGTGTGTTCATTATAAGCCTACCACGTAAGCATAATGTGGACATTGAATTTTTAATATTTGCTTAATTTTTTCGAACATAATTTTAATAAATATAAAAATGGAATGAAATACGTACATGCCTGTATTCATGTATAAATTATGATGATTCACATTACTTATAACCTTATCTTTAAAAAAAAAATTATATAAAAAAAATTATTTTCATAAAAATAATTTTTGAACTACCTAATACTATGAGTTAATTTCATTGTTTTCAATAAAAGAATTCAAAAAATATAAATAGAATCACATTTAAATATTTTTATTTAAAGTTGATAATGCGAAATGATAAGAGTTCGGAAATGAATGAAAGTAAAAATTATGTACAGGTATGAATTTACAGAACATACATATAAATAGATCTATCCAAGCACATTAAACCTAACTGCAACTTCATCCTAATGTTTGCGATTATTAATTTTCACCAGTAATATTATAGATTTCAGCTCATATAAACTGAGAAATTGTACGAAGTTAAACGCTGCTTGAAAAATAATTAGAAAAATAAAAATAAAGAATAAGAAAATATCCAATTTTAAAATTTTTTAGTTCCCAGTATCCACATCTTTAAAATTTCCGGTAATCTTACATTTACTGAACTCAAAATTTTCATCAATCTCGAATCCATGAAGAAGAAAATTACACTGAAGATCTCCTTAGCATTTCCTTTCTATCACATTATATTCACTCAAAATAAATATTTTCTTGATTCTTGACCTAATTAAGTAATAAAAGTAGCCAATAAATAAAGTTTACCAGTTACTAAACTTTTAGGAAGGTCTAGAATATTTTGATCTTTATAGTGTGTACATTATATGAAAAAATTTAAATATTTTATGGAACAAATTTTATAGAAGAAACCGAAATAGTTATTAATTTATGATCTTTAGTTTGGTAGTTATCTACCGAACAAGTCATTTTTCTACACACAATGTTAATATGATTGAACAAAAATTATTATTCAAACATTTAGAATTTTCTTGTATGTATTCATAATTGGAATGCAAAAATACGGTTTTAGCTTAATTCGAAAGCTAATGTTTAGATAGACTGAATTAGATGAAAACAAAAAACTAAGTGCAATGGTGTTATACATATGTACATACATATGTATTCTTTGCTATATTATTAAATAAATGAACATATAATTTTCGTGTATGTATCATAAAAGAAAATATATTTACTTTGCCCATATTGCGAAAAGTAATGTGTATTAAAAGAGCTGAGTAAGCAATAATGTAAATATGCGATAAATATTTGGGTGCTTACGTTGTACATGAATGTCTTATTTAAGAAACAAATTTAAAAAGCACTCTTCCAAAGATTTGGAAAGGAATTTATAAATACTTTTAGTTATTTACTTAGAAAATATTAAAATTAAAAAATGTTTATTTTTTTTATATGGGTACAATAAGGAGCAAAATAATAACGATATTTTTTTTATTCTAAACTTCCACGTCTGTATTAAATACAACTGTATGTATGTACACAAATGTGTATCTACCTACGTATCTAACCTATACCCCGATGATTGAATCCACAAATTTTTGCAAAAATTTAACCCCCACAAATTATATTCAAAGATTTTAACATCATCTATCTTATATTATATAAAATTCACATTATAGAACTTTTATATAGGTAGCATATACCTATATCTGATTTTTTTTTTCCTGTTATATTCCTACCCCAAGCCGGCATTTTTTATGTAATGGAAGGATAATTTATCTATGGAAATACGTATTCAATAAAACCTAATAAATGCATATGTATGTACACACATATGTATAAATTTTCAGACTTAATGGACGACGCCCATACATTAGTATTCCAAAAACATTGTATGTATACATAATTAATATATCCTTTGTTAATATTCAATTTTGAATACAATTTGTGTATAAATCAGTAATAGGTACCGGTTTTCAGATATTTCGCTTAAATTCATATTTTTTTTTATATTATATGTGCAGCTAAAAGCGTATCGTATATGTATGTATGTAAGTACAAATTTGTACGTATATAAAATTGCAAATATTTAAACTAGACAGTATCTAAAAATTCTTATTGAATCAAAAGACTTCAATTGAATTTTAAAAAATTTCTGTCCATAGTTTTAAAAAAAAGTTTTAAATTAAAATTCTACCGACGTTTTCAACAATTATTTATTATATTCAAAATTTAAAGCAGATTTAAAAATAATATTTATAAAACAAAATGTAATTGCAATCTCTTATAAATTATAAAATTCCAATCAGAATTCTGAACATTTATTATATTTTATAAAAATTTATTTTACCTTCTAATTAAATTTCAACAAAAAAAATGAAAATAAAAATCACCACCAAAATTTTTATTTAGAAACTCGCTTCCCAAATACTAATGACTTTACACCGTCACGTTCAAAATCCAACTGACTTCACTTCACTTCACTAATCACTACTAGTCGACTCGACTACATTTTACAATTTCATTTTGACTTTTTCAAACTCTACACTACATTCTACACTAACTACACTTTTATTTTTACTACATTATTCACCAATTCAACCACAAATCAAAAAAAACTGAAAATTTTTAATAAGAACAAAAATGGACTATGGAGTGAAGAAGATTGGAGAAATTAATTATTCAAGTTAGATTTCTTCTCGTTTTGTTTTTATTTTCTATATTTTTTTTTATGTTTTTATATACAATTTCTTTTCGATTTTCATTCTCTTTCACTCGTAAGCGAATAAAAGCAATTTCAAAAAATTTATCAATTGCTTTCCTTTTTTAATAAATACAATGTCTAAGATGGATGGAATACTTTTGTTCATATATATTATGTTAAAGTAGCAAACAGAATTATATCGTTTGACGATGGCAGCCGGCATCAAATTTCAAAATAAATAAAATATATGTCACAATTGACTAATACATTTTTGTAATAAACTACAGGAATAAAAACATGGAACTGTATGATTATTATACAATTATATTATGCTATAATCTTTGCAAAGAAAACTCAAAAAATAATGGGTCTATTCAAGTCTTCATGAGATAAAATTAAATTTTAACTCAGTTTTTAAAAATAACTTTGTCTCTCGAACAGTATTTTTTGCAACACATTGAGCTAGATTGTAATTTTTCGTTTGCCATGTTTTTCTTTTGCAAATACATTAGCTGTCGCATGGCCAGAAGCTCATGAAATCTTCCTACATTGTCTCCGAGACGCATTTTAGAGCTATTTTGTGTATCGAAAATTTTCTTAAATACAATATTAAATTGTTAAAACGCATGAAAAGTCAAAGTGAATAGTTTTATTTAAAAATTAAAATTGGAAAATTAAATTTTAATCCATTTTTAAAATTTAAAATGACTCAAATGGCAATGTATTTGAGTATGCGCAGTACCTATGCGCAAAAACACAACTTTAATGCTTTATGTCAATAATTTGTGAAAAGCGACCACATTCTTTAAAGAGAATCTTGAACCGCGTAGCACTCTAGATAGCTTTTAATAAAGGTGGTTTTTATTAAATCATTTTTAAAATAGTTCTAAGTTGTAGCATGTTCGAAAATTGTACGCTGCACACACGAATATATAATCGTTCGGAAATTACTTGCCTTAATAAAGTGCGTTTGGAAATCCATTCTGTAATAAAGAAATGTCAGAAATGTGCGCAGACAACTAATTTAAACTTCTTCTTTTCAAATTTAAAAATTTCTAAATTTGTCCATTACTCATTTATATGCCATAAACATAAAAAAACTTAGCTGAAGTTTTTGCATACTATTCAAATGCTGCGTGTTAGAAATTTAAGTTCTAATGTAGAGCGTGCATAAAAGAAAATCTCCACACAATGTGGAACTTGAAATTTTGTATTGGAGTGAAAACATTGTAACATTGCAGTATGAAACTTAAGATATGTAAATATTTCGACACACTCACCTTCGAGGCCTCCATATACTTCCCCGACAGCTTTGAAAAAGAATATTAAATCTACTCTCCTTTACATAACTTATCTGCTCCTTGAGTTTACTATTAAAAGTATCTTTTAACACTTTCATTTGGGTTTTATCTATTTTTTTGATGGTTTTAGACGCATTTACATTTAGCTATTTGCAAAAAGCCAGAGGCCCGGCCAAACTTCTCATAATTTAGTTTTTTTTAAAAATGAAATGAGTATATAAAATATTCCGTAAGTGTCTTTACGGGTGTTAGTTACTAAGGTGGTTCAATAACTATAGGAAACAGAGATTTATATTATGTCCAAGATCGACATAGAAGTGTAATAGTACCGTATTAATGCTGAATTTACCTCGTCAATGACAATTGCTGAATTGTGCATCGATACAGTATTATTACAATTCCGATGAGAATTGTACATAACGTACTGGGTTCATATTAAACTGGGTCCATATTATCAAAAACGTGTTCTTTTTCTAAACTCGTTACGTGAATGAGATTTTTAAAAGAAATAAAACACAATTATTCCTGTAAAAATATTTTATTTTTAATATATATTTTTACCTTTTTTTTTAATTTTTATATTGGTATCTTATTTTTTCTGTAAAATTCCTTTCATTTGTTTATAAAACAATGTTGGAATCCTTTTTTTCTGCAAATGCTTTTTTTCAAATAACGTTATAAAACGTATAAAATAAATCTGTTTTCAAAAAAGAAAAAAAAATATAAGGAAAATAAACAAAACTCTTAAAAAAACAATTATTTTTCATATACAAGTAAACATAAATTTATATATGTATATATACATACATACATAAATGCTTATATAATATAAATTGCCAATTCATTCAGTCTGCGTGCAAATGTTTCACATATGACGATTCTGAAGATGTGATTTAATAAGAAATTAAATAATTCTATACTCCGTTTAAATAAATTTTAATATAAAAGAATTAACAGTTTTATGTAATTTGATTCATTCGAAACGAATTCTAGAAATTGATTTCATTACAATTATTTACAAAAGATCTTTAATTATTAAAGAATTGAATTACAAACATTTTAAAGTGTTTTGATGTTATATTTAAAAAAAATTCATGAAACAACAAACCTATTTTATAGATTTTTAAAGTTAGAAGTCAATTTGTTTTCTTAAATACTTGGTTTGTACAAGAAAATAAAGAACTGCTACTGTTATGCTTAAAATATAAAGTGCATTCCTCAAGCTGTAGGAACATACATAGTTTGAATTAATAAACTTAAAAGCACTTTATAATATAACAATAATGATATTTAGGTTTTGCTTCAAATTAATTTTAATCTATTTACAAAGTCTTTCAATTATTAGTAGTGTAAGGCATAAAATATGTAATATTTTAAACATCAAATTCGAAAATGTTTTTTAAATATTCTTAATAACGGTTATGTACATTATGTATGTAAATAGTTTTTAAATTTGTTATTGAAAACTAAAACTTCTATTTTGTGTTTTTTAAGGCAATAATAAAATTTAATGACGGCCTGTCAAAAACAAATACATTTTCAATGTATGAAAATTTTCATAATGTTTTTTACAGCACAATTACATATTGGACATTTTTTATTTTTGTTCCAAATTTTAACAGCACATCTATAGCAACAGCATAAATGTAAGAAACGACTGTGCACGAATACTCCATTTTTAGGTCCATCTAAACAAACAATACACGAGTCACTATTATTGGTAGCATCTTGATCTTTCTTTAAGTTATTTTCAAAAGTTTTATTTTTAATTTTATTATTAAATGGACTTAGAATTTTCCGATGTCTTTTACGCTTTTTAAGTTTTTGTACTATATTATTACTGGATGTCGATAAAATATTATTATTATTCAAACCTTTTATATTTTCCATTAAACTCTGCGATAAATTTGTTGTGTTTTCATTATCTTCATTATCATTATTTAGAGAAATTTTATCATCATTAAAATCATAATCTTTTTCATCTAAGTCTTCGCTTACAGTATCATCTAAATTATCCATATTACTAATTGAAGGCATTGGATTTTTAGTAGAATTTGTTTTAAGATTACAATTGCAGTAGATTGAATTTATTTCTAATTTTGTTTCATTAGAATGAGATGAACACACAAAATCAACACTACCTTGAGATGAAAAGTATTCTTGACTTGAAGATGGACCTGATGTTGAAGATAATGAACCTCCACTAATACCAGAATCTTTTTGTAATTTTATACTATTACTAATATTATCAATAAATTCTAAAGCTAAATCAGTCTCAGAATCATTAACTACTAAATTAGTATCACGTTTTTCAAGCACATTACAAGAGCTTTCATTATTTGCTGTTATCGTTGTTGTTAAAGAAGAATTATTGCTGCTGCTACAATGATTTGTTAAATTTGTAACACTGCTACAACTAGAACTTTCCACAAAAAATCGTTTCGCATTGTTAGCTAAACTTATTTCAAATGGATTTTTACGTTTTAAATTTTTGCTAAACTTTGGTGTACTAAAGAAATTTGATGTTGCATTTGTTTCGCATGATTCTTTTTGAATTTCATTATTTTTAATAATTTTATTAAATTTCATATCATCACCTTCAGAATCTGAACTACTGAAATTTTTTTCACTCGAAAGCCTACTTAACTGATTTTGGCTTAAGTTACAGTTGTTAAAGCTTGCACTATTTGAAATCGAAGATCCTAAAATATTTTTTGCATTATTACTATAAAATTTACCAAATCCTTTTATATCATTAATATTAGAAGTAACATCTGTTGTTATTGCATTTGGTACTTTTGATGATATAGTATCTTTTGAACTATTATTTATTTTATTAGAAGAACTCATATTTTTGTCAATATCGGATAAAGATGATAACGACGTGCAATTTCCATTATTATTTGATTTTTGAACATACTTGTCTAATCCCGAACTCATTTTATTTTGTAACTCACCTCTTCTTTTTCTTTGTGGAGGCCGTGGTGGAAAATGCGATTTACGAATCTAAAAATAGAAGAGCACTATGTATTAGTAAATTAAATTATTTACTTTTTTATTAGGATTTGTTGAAATTTTAAAAAAATAAATAATGGTTAATAATAAGAATATAAAGCAAACGAATTAAAATGTTAATTAAATATATACGAATGTAATTAAATAATATATAAAATAATATTATGCTGAAAATGGCATATATATCTATAAATAGTAAACGTAGTGATTATTTACAGAACAAATGATTTACAATGTTGGAGAATTGTACATTTTTTTATTTGTACTGAGTTTTTCATTAGTAGGGTACTATCAAAATGAATTTTGCAGGACCAATTTATAAAATTTTAAATCATTTCCAGTTTTTATTAGAACAATGAAACAATATATTTCATAGAAATAATATTATATTACCACTAATTCAAATTTTTTTAATTATAAGATTTCAAATTTTGACAAAATTGATAATTTTTGCTTATGACATTCAATAATTATTTCTTTTTATGTTTTCAAACAAAATTTTATATTAATTCAAGAAGTTGAAAAGTTTCTAACGTAAAAAATATACAGAAATTATAAATTAATTTATGTAAATAAATTGTGAGTTATCACAAATATGACATTCTTCACATAAGTACATAATAATGTACATAAGCTAATAACAGTTAGTATACAGAATCAAATGCTGACATTTTTGACATATAATTTGTAAGATTACAAATTTGAAAGATTTCATGTTGAAAAAATCCTTTTTAAAGGTGTAGTGTGTGTGATGATGCGATTTATTATTCTTTCAAAATTTCTGGTTCAAGTTACAGAACAACTTCTGTAAATTCACTTTTCAAAAATATAATTAATAAATTCAGAAATTATTCGATGTCAAAGATTTTTTTTCGAAAGTGTGATATTGTATCACAAATTTGGGGTGAATTACTTCTGAATGATCCTTTCTGTAATTTATTTTTCGGGTTCTTTAGGAATTTTTGGAGTTTTTGATTAAATTTTAGCATAATATTCTTTTGATATTTTTTAAAAATTTAATTTTCAATCAATTAATGTTTTTTTTTTTAATTTTCCCCATTTTTTTATTTTTTTCTTCTGTTTTTTAGTTCTTCTTGTTTTTTTAAATTTTTTTGATTATTCTTCTTATGTCTTCAATTTTTTTTCTTTTTTTTTTAATAATTTCTTTTTTATTTTTTTATTGTCTTATTCTTTGTTGTTTTTTAACTATTTTTTTTCGATCCTTTTTTCCTTTTTCTTATTTCTTTTTTATATTTCTTTTCTATGTTTTTCTTTTTTTCATTATTTTGCTTTTTTAATTTTTTTTTAGTTTTTTTTTTTTGAAATATTTTTAATTTTTTCTTTAAAAAAAATAATTACAATAAATTATGTTAATACATTTAAAAACAAGATAATTAAATTCACAATAGGAATGTGACAATGGTTTAATTCACAAAAATTTACAAATTTAATATTAGTAAAAATTTTAAATTCCTAAAAATTAGTATCAAATAATGTATATGTATTTTGATAATTTTCAATGTTTGTTCGGTCTATTTCCTAGGGAGGGGTCCTTTACTCTATTAATAACAATCTAATCCTTTTTCTTTTTTTATTTCAAGAGAGTTTCCCTTAAGTTTTAAAAAAATCTAATAAAATTTAAATAATTTTTTTTTTTTTTGATATAACTGTAGTGTAATCTAATTTCCCTTTAGAAATTCATGATGAAATATAATGCTGAATATAGTAATAAAAAATAAAAATATTTATACATGTATTATATAAATAAAATTAGATATACTAAGTAATTACGTTTAATAACTACATATTAAAATAAAATCTTTAAAGCAAAAATGTTTACTTTAAATTATAATATTTATGAAAAACCCATTTATTTTTAAATTTGAAAAATAATTTTTTATGACTAAAATAAAATTCTGTTAATGTTAAATTCAAATAAAATTTTGCTGCTCAACATGTTGAATCGCATAATTGTACAAAATAGTTGTTCTCCCACAACACGTTTATGAGAAGTAAACTAAGTTATGGAAGAACAAAATGACTTTTTAGCTGGAATTGAAATGAAAATTTGAAAATATTTTCTTGAAATTTGAAGAAAAATCCTGTACAGCTCTATTGTAAAATTATTGACTCTATATTTTTTAATTTTTTTCCGTTTTCTATTTTTGCATGCTTATTGCCATTACATCTATGACCTATCTTGTAAAGATGGAAAATAATTAACAACTTGGTTTTGGGTATTATTGCTCAAAAAAAGAATAGTTATGTAACATTCATAGTTGGAATATACACCTGTATCAACAATTTTATGTATCAACAATGTTTACAAACATACTTTTAGAAAAGAAATATGTATTAAGTCAGCGTCTTGTACTCTCATTAAAAGAATGGTGAATAAATACATAATTCGAATTTAAACTTAACTGCTGCTATAGTGGAAAGTGATGAATTAATTTGCATGTCACGTTTTGCATAAATAAAAAAAAAATCTCTCTGTGAACACAATGTAGGTATGTAAAAATCCATAATTCACCTGAACAAAATTTATATAAAAGTTTATATTATGTATATACACATTTTTGCATGAAATTATTTGAAGTTATTTGCATTAACTAATACCAATAGGTAGTGCGAAAATTTAAGATATTTATGTATATTGTACTGGTAGAAGTAATGATAATAATGCAGTAGTAGTAAAAAATAAACATCAGTAGAATAGTCGTTAAAAATGAGAGACGAAAAACAAACAAAATAGACAAGCCAAATCTTTAGTATTAAAATATGAAAATTTGTTTGTATATTTATATCTCAACTTAATTATAAAAAAATTATTTAACATTTTTTTTGTGTAAATACGTCACATGTTGTGTCTCAGACCAAAAAAAAATATATTTTTTACTTCATTGTGTATGTTAAAACTAAAATTACGATTCCAAACCAAAATTTGGAAAAAAAATGATATTCCTGACTATAAACAATTTTTAATGTGAGAGAATCACTAAATATGTACATTTGGCAAGCCATTTTCATTTTTGAAGTGGTGTGCAATAAACACTGGGCAAAAACAAAATAAAAACGTACAAAAAGAATAAATAATGAAAAACAGAAAAATATTTAAGCAATTAGTATAAAATAATGAATTGAGTTGAATAATACACAGAGCCGTAATTGCGAATAGCACAAACGATTCCATTCTAAATATTATGTAGGCATACAAAATTTTGCTTTTACACTGACAACGTTAAATAAAAATACGAAATAAAAAAACTGTGTATAAATAGAAATTGATGATTCTGTGACCTTTAAAAAGCACTCATGACAGCTACTTGTATATTGATACAGACTGACTACTTACATACAGTCAGTAATTTGTATTTGGATGATTATTGTCGCTCATAAAGCTTTTATATTTTAAGAAAGAGAATAAACGTATCTTTTTTTTTTGGTATTTTTTAATACAATAATTTATTTGAAATTCGAGTATATTCTAAAATTCGAATTAAGTAAGAAAGAAAGCAATAACCTACATATTCCTTTTTTTCTTTTTTTGTATAACATACATGTGTATATGTACATGCATTTCAACATCTATAAAAAAAAAATTCAAATTGTTGAATAATGACGAATCGATTGTATGGAAAGAGAGCGGAATCGGAATGGATATTGGTTGCACCAATGGAATTTTTTTTATAATCTATGTACATACTATTGTATATACATATAATCTATATATATGTATGTACATACATTATATTCCATTATTCTATTCTTTAGGTTATAATTTAAAATATTTTATAAAAAAAAAAAAATTTCAAACAAATTCAATTAATAAAATCGAAAGCGTTTAAATAAATCAATCAATAATTCAATTCAATAAATATATGTACATGGCGCTTAGTAGGAAACTAAAAGATACTATTTCAATTCGAAAATTTAATAATTTAAACTCACGAAATAAGAATATCAACATGTGACATTTTTCTCAATAAGCACTAAACTTATTTTATTTATGTAGATAGATTAGACTAGAGCTAGTTTTAAATTTCTCCTCAGTTTTTAAACGTTATTCAAAATAATTTGTATGTACACATACATATGTTGTGTATGTAATGCATGTATGAACATACATATGTATGTCCAGTAACAATATTGTATTATAAACGATAAAATGATTTCGTTAGACATACATATTTTGTACTTAGTAAGCAATGAAGAGAGCAAAACATTTAGCAGCAGAGCAGATTAATAAAATAAAATGAATACAACAGAAAAAGAAAAACAAGAAAAGCAAATGGAAAAAAATATCGACTTGATATAACATGTTCGCTTTGCTTTCTAGTTGAACTTTTTTTCGTCATACAATACAATATTTATTAGCATTTTTTAACACCGTATTTCTTTATATTAAATTAAAAAAAAAATTTCTTTTTTTTTTTTTTTGGTTCTGTTTAAAGATTTTAAAGAAAATATAATGAAAGGCTGATGAAAGTTCAAAAAATGTCATTTACATAATGTGCAAAGAAAGGAATAAAACAATTGAACATTGTATGTAGTTTCATCCACAGTAACGTTAAAAAAAAAGGTTTAACTACTTACTAGAACATTTTGTATACATATGTCCATTATATGTTGTACCTACATACATACATACATACATATGTACATACATATAAAAAAACTAGAAGTTATTTATCTGTTAATTGCTTTAATATCTATTTCATAACATTCATGATTGAAAATTTTTACTCATATATGTATGTATGTATGTATGTAACTATGTACATACTTATAATGTTGATTATAATAATTAAAAATGAAAATTTTTGTTTTTAGGTGGTCCTCCATCTTTCTGTTAAGGAAAATTCATGTTCGTTGATATGATTATGTAGGGTACGTTGATACCCAATTAGTTATAAACCTACATACATACATACAAACATGCATACATATGACATAGTGCACTGGGTAGTATGCAATTTTTTTAATTCATAAATTTATGGTAAAAAAAAAAACAAATTACGTGATTCAAACGAAATCAAGGAAAATTTTAAAAACAAGTGAAATTGCAGCTAAAAATGACATGAAACACATAATATCTATATTATTTTGTTATCATCATATGTCAAAAAAGATAAGAAAAGTATATAAATATATACATATGTAAATACTTTTGTATGTTTTACATCAATACTCGTGACATTCTTAAGGTCTATTAAACAGTATTCACTGACTACGTTAGTAATATTTTAGTTAAATTATTTTGAGTGTCATTAATTCTGCTCAAAAACATTTTGTGACATGCATTGTTTAAAGCAAAAGCTAATTTTTGACGACGTGAAATATGGTTTATGTACATACATGCATGCATGTCGAATACATATGTACATGCATATGAATCTACATATATTAATTTAGTTTTGTTTGCAAAGAAAATGCAATTTGTTTGAACGAATTAATATTTCATATTCACAATTATGTAATAGGTACAAATAGTATTTTATATATGTAGTAAATCAAATCGCTACTGTTATAATAAAAATGATAAGGATGTAAATATATACAAACATACATTTTAATGTAAATAAAATAATTTCTTAGCAAACAGGTTGAAATTTTCTAGATACTATTCTAATAAAATATATTACATATGTATGTACGTATGTACATACATATATATTATTTTCCTACAATCTGCGCGTACACATTGTGTGAAAAACAAAAAAAAAAAGAACAAAAAAATTCCTTTTAAATTTTGATTCACTACTAATTGAAAAATTAATATAAAAATGTTTTTGAACAAGTTTTAACACGTCGTTCAAATAGTTAATTCTTAAACGAAAAAATTATTGCACATACATACTTATGTACATACATACATATGTATTTATCTTATGACTAAATTTTATTTTAATTATTGTATGTATAAATAAAATAATTTTACCTACATAAATTTAAAGTTAAATGCTAGTATTTATTATTAAACAATTTTTTCTATTATTAAAGTAAAAATAAATGTACATATGTATGTATGTATATGCTTATAAGTATTTGGAGTGCTTTGTTCATGGCTACTACATCAATTAAACAAAAAAAAAATGGATTAAAATTGTAAGTAGCAGGTACATAGGAAATTATTTTTTATTGCACGATGTTAAAATGAGAAGTTTGAGTTACTTTGGTTTTAGCACTATTAAAATATTATGACATAATTATGAAGTCTAAAAATTTTGAAGGTTTATTGACATTTCAGTCATAAAATATACACAAAAAACACATTTTACTTTTTATAGAATTGCTGTTGAACAAGAAAGTTCATGTCTATATTATTCACAAATGACAGATACGAAAAAGTATCGCGACGCGATATCTTTACAAAAATTAAGCAAAAAAAAATAATGAAATGGAATAAAATAAAATCATAAGGGAATTAAAATTCTCTTTAAAGTTATTTACACTTTTGTAAATCTAAATATTATCAAAAAAGAATAATGCATTTAATAACAACTTAAAAACGTACCTACATACCTGCCTACATACTTAAATTAAGTGTTATATGGTTTGGTATTAATTATTGCCATGATAATAAATTAATATGTTATTAATTTGTCTGGGTTATCGTTTGCATAAAAATTCTTACAAATAAAATTCAAACAAACAAAAACAAAGAAAAAAATAAATAAAACACATCTGAAAAATTAAGAGAATAACATTCAAGAAAAAAGCAAGAAAAAAAAAATACAGCAAAAATTAATAGAGAAATGAAAACTGAAAGAAAAAAATAAATACAATAAAACTTCAGTTCCAGTAACAACGTGCAAATTTTTTCAGGTAAGCATGAGTTATTTTCATTTCTTTTATTTTCTTCCCTTTTCTTCTTGACACGTATAACTTTTAGGTTGCCGTTATACATATACGTATATTATGAATTATACATTAACTTAATGAAAATGTGTGTTTACATATATCTTTTTTATTTTTGAAAAGTGGAAAAATTATTTTTCAAAATTTAAAAATAAAATGTATTAAATGACCATGCAGTACTTTTCAATTTTATACAAAAATATAAACAATATATTTTTAAAAAACTTACTTGATAACAGCGTTCACAATATCGAAACATTGGATTATTTTGTTTATTTTTACATTTAACACATTTCCAATAATCGGCAGAACTTAATTCAGAATCTTTTTGTACAATATTATAATTTGATTCTTCACTATCTGCAAAATCACTTGTTGAACTCTCTGTTGCAGCAGATTTTGTAACTAAGGCAAATACAATGTCCTGAAAATAACAAATTAGTTATTAATATATACATAAATGTACTTACGTACACCTATAAATCTTCAATTTTAAAATTTACAAATTAAAAAACTCATAGTAATTGATTTTAATTAATTCGGAAACCTTGAAACATGGGGTTTAAGGCTTGCGAAAAAAACAAACTTCCTCTTGTAATTTTTTTTCTACTAAAAAACACCTAATGAAATCTTTAATTTAATAAAGATTTATTTACTAACAAATTAATATTCATGCACTTTAAATTTTTATTTAAAATTATTAACGTCTATTACATACGATTTAGAAGAACAAAAAAAAAAGCGTTAAAATATTCTGTAACATTTTAATTAGTACACTTATGCTATTTTTTTCAGCTAACAAAATGCTTCATTATAAAACGTTGCGAAGGTTTCTATAACAAGAACACATTTATATTATAATATTGTAAAATTTATATTGTACGTTAATATTTTTAATAAAAATTTAAAATGAATTTGTTCGTATACAATATATTTATTCATTTTGTTACAAGAGCAATATCGCTAGCAATTAATTGAAAATACAATATCACAAGGGCATATTTCAGTTACTATACATAAATAAAGGCCTCTGATTACCCTTGTTCTCTATTTTTTTTTTTACCTAGGATCTATTACATTCTACACTTTTTAAAATATTAATGTACACATGACGATTTACATAGCATATTTGCTTCAAATACGTGTTATAACATTATAAATAATACCTCTGTCCCACTTGATGAGTCGTTTGAATAAAAATTTTCACTAGCACTTCTGCTAGCTACCTCATACTCAACCATATCAACCGTTGCTATTTCTTCTGTTGTATAAGAGGAATCTGATAAAGTATCTGTTGTATCCTTGCAGTAATCTACAAAATAATTAAATAAAATGTAAGATAATATTAAAATAGGAACAATAATTTCAATTTAAGTTTTATTTGTAAGTTTTTCAAAATTTTTTCTGCTCAAAACTCAAGAATATACATACATACATACATAATAATTTAATTAAAGCTAATGATGGCTGAAAAAAGGGCCAATGGAATTTTAAATACTCTTTTGTATCATGTTTATAACGTATTAGTGTTATTAGTATAGTTTTTATCTTGATGACGAATTCAGAATTATTTTTAAAATATTGGACGCATAAAATGAATCATGGAATATGGAAGAAATTTCAGTGGAAAATAATTCCAATAAAAAGATTCAATTACTAATTGTAATTTGCCTAAATTATAAAAGGGCTTTTAAAATACATTTGCATTGAAATAATATATCAGGATAAAAGCTATTTTTTTTCCTCTATTTTACTAATTAAAAGAATCCATTATTCAGTATAAAATCGCTAGAAAATAGTACATTTCGCCAAATAAAATTTCTCAAGATTCTAAGAAAACACTTATGTATATGTATTGTAAAAAAGGGATTTCAAACAAACTGGACTTGCAAATTCACATTTAAAAGTGGGTGCAATATTCATATGACTGAAATCTATAATTTGTACATGTTATTATGAGTTCGTTATTATATGGTGTCATATAGGTACACCTATCTCTACATTTTACACATATGGCATATACATACATATACTATCTATATTACCAATATTATAGCAGTATGCATTCAGATAGATATTCTTATACCAAAACAACCTACAGAATTCGAGTTTTCATGTAAAAATACTAAAAAATAAGCAAGAAAAATTGAACAGAACGCAAAACAAAATAAATAAATAACCAGAAGTGAATGAGATAAGCTACAAGCGAATTGAATTCTTTTTTTTTATGGAGAAGAGCCTCCTCTAAATTAAGATGTTGCCTTGCGTTCAGTTTTATTTATACTTTTGTCGTGGCAAGTCATAAAATTCGCGAAACGGAAAATTTTTTTTTATTTTTGTAGAAAGCTTTTTCATTGATTTGACGTTACTAATATATGTACATATTCTAATATATACATACATATTTAGGTTATCATCATTTAATGGATTAACATGCTATGCTTGATTTTTATAGGTTATTAATTATTTGGTTAAGGATTTGGATACTCCATTGTTACTTTAATGGCTTTACAAGCATTTTACACATTCCAGTATTAATTTTGTATTTTAATGGAAAAATTAATGAATGAACAATGAATATGTGGACTTTGAATTTTTTAAAGCTATTGCGAGCTATTAAAATTCTTACATTCGTAGGTAGGTATGCTAATTTTAGCCAAAAAAAAGGAAACAAATATTAAAGAGTTATAAGCATTTGTACGTGACAAAACTACACACAATAAGTAATATGATTAAAAAAAAATGGTAATGTAAACTCACCTGTTTCCCTAAAATGAAAACTATCATAAGTATCTGATGAGCTGTCATAGCTTATATTTTTGGGACTTTCCTTAGCAAGTGTAATGTAAAAATTTCTTGCTTTTGTTGCTCCAGATTCCGGTGTAGTAATAATATTATTATTACTAGAATAATTAGTTTTATTTTTATCCATTAAGGAATTGTTATTTTCCCCACTTTCAATGTTGCTAATGCAGCTTGTTAAATTTAGTCGCCATTTCAGCGAATCTTCTACGAGAGAAAATTAATTTTTTTTTAACCCAAGTACTTTTTTCGTTCAATTTTCATTTTTGTTTCGTTTACTTTTTCTTTTTTTTTTGTTTCTTTAGAAGGTCTAAGAAATTTCTTATCTTCTTTTATTAATTTTTCAAATACCCATTTACCTGATTTAGAATGAAAAATATTATTATTTTCACAATTTGCGTTCATTTTACTATTGAAAATATAACAAACAAAAAAAAAAGAAATTAAAATACAAAAAATTTTATTTTTACAAATGATTGAAAATATCACGAACTTTTAACTATCGCTTTGAATCAACTATCATCAACTGAGCTTCACCCTTCACAGCACTAACAATAAAAAAAAAGTCAAAAAATATAACAGAAACTTTTCAAATTTTTAACATTCGATTCAACCAGAATGAAAGAGAACGGCATATAAAAATTAAAATGACAGCATATAAATAACTCTTAAATGTCACAGCTTCGTTAAAAAATTCGTTAAATGTTGATCGTTTGAGGTGAATATAAAAACAAATTGAAATGTTAAATTGAATTCAAATGAAATGAATAAATAGAAATGTAAAAAATTCTGTAAACCGAATTATAGCTGGGTGATTTAACGAAACGTAATGTTATAACAAAAAAATTCACAATTTTATAGCAGACTTGATTCATTAATAAGAAATAAATCGAAATTACTGCAACAAATGAACAAAATAAAATTCATTTGTTTTTATTTGAGATTTCTCAAATTTTGTTTTGTATTTAGAGAATCACTCACACTAATTTATGAAATGGTTATATACAAATATTACAAATAGAGTTATGTACAAATATGATAAAGTAGTAATTTTAAATTAAGAGAATAATTTGGGAGAAAATGTACGCACGAAAAATATAATGTTAATTTTTTCATAACAGTATCAGACAGTGAATTTAATAATTGAGTAATTTATTCCATCTTTCCAATAATTTCGTATCTCTTCGATATTTTTTAATTGAGTTAACAGTTCAATTGAGAGGTTAAACTCTTCCAAGGTGTAGAGTTAACATAAACTGTTTTCTTATATTTACAAATTTTTTGTACAAAATACTTGATTTTGAACATATAATATTCATATAACATATTATTTGAAATATTCAAATAAATTATTTTAACAAAATTATTTTTTTCCTGCGTTTTAATTCATAATTGGCTTAAAGTTCTTAAATCAACTTTTTAACAACTTTTTTATGCCCAAGGTGGCTCTCAAATCGTTAAGAATATGATTTAATCTTCAAAAATAAATTGCATAAACCTTGGATGGTGTTTAAAATTGCTTTAGATACAAATTCGATCAATTTTAAAATTGCCAGATGTTGATAACAAAAAATATCTAATATAACAGTTATTTCATGTTTTATAAAAATATTCATTTATTAACAATTTGCAATAAAACATTCATTAACTTGTCATTTTCTCTTCCTCGTTTTTTACATCAATTTTGATTCGTTTTCCACCTCTAACTTCATCTTTACTCGGTTGAGTTTCAATAGTTCTTTTTAAAGGTGCTTTATAATTTCCATGACCAGCAGCTCTTTCTGATTCTTCTACAGAGTAAGGTTCTATTTCAAGGGCCTTCATTCTACGTTTATGTACCTAAAATTGAAAATATTTTTCATCGCGAAAAAATGCCTTGCTTTTACTAACCTTTGTTTTAAAGTGTGACTGTAAGGCATGATCGTCAATAAAATATTTTGCACAATGAATACAATAATGTTGGCCCAAACCTTTTTGCTCAAAATCAATTTCTTGATCTATTAATTTTTCTGGATTAGTTTTTAAATCATTATCAATCTATAATTTAGTAAAACCTTTCTATTAATATTCAAAGAAATTTTAACTTTTATGGAAGGTTTTGAAATTTTTATTTACTTCATCAAGATCTCGTTTTCGATTTTTCGTTCTCCATCTTCGTCTTAAATGTGTGTCTCCAGAATGATGCTTTTTCCTACGTTGTGGCTTTCCCATATTTTTTTTTTGTTTTTGAATTTTAATTTGAAATTTCAAATGTTTTGAAATGTACTTTTTAAGTATTATTTTTGAGAATAATTTAAAATATTAGTAAAAATAATCAAGTCTTTCAAATTTTAAAAATCAAATAATATAAAAACAAAGGTTGGTATTTAGCAATTAGAAAATGACATTTGAACACATGTGCAACATTTTGGGGGAGCGTTTTTAAAAAAAAAATTCAAAGTTTTGAAACTTGCAGTACTATTTAGTTTTGATACTATAGTACCCATTATGGTGTAGTTATTAAAATTTTTAACGTTATGAAGTACATATGAGCCTTATCAAAACCGGAATAAGTACAAACCAAAATGGTTTTTTTGTATTTGTTTTTGTGGATATTCGAAAGGGCCTTTTAATATCAGTAATTTAAAATAAATTAAAATTCTGTGGCCGTGGACAAGGAGCTCAATTTGTTTACACGTTTCTTTATTTATGGCTATCTTGTTAAAAAGTGCTCTTAAACGTACTTCTATTCCAATAATAAATGTTAATGAAAATTGCCAATGAAGGAAGAGAAATTATTATCAAAATCGATTTATTCTAATTATTGACAGAAAAGAAGTTTATTTTTAAACTCTTGTCGCCATAATTTTAATTCGAATAATACTCACAGGCTCACAACGCTAAAATTATTTCAAAAAGTTGTTTACGTCTTATTATTTTTAGTTTTATTGTTTACCATGCTCTCTCTTATGGCGCATCTTAAATGTCAATCGCCACTGAACAGGTGATTATAGTTGTTTATTAAAAAAAAATCAAAACGTTAAAAAGACTAAATTTTAAATTTAATTTTTTCGCTTTAACTCCAATTTATAAGTTAATAATTTTATATCCAAATTGTGTGTGATGGATTCTCGGAAAGATTGTCAATATGGTGAAAATTGTTACAGGAAAAATCCAGTACATTTTAAGGAATACTGTCATCCTCATTGTAAATTAATATTAATAGCAATTTTTTTGTATGAATATTTGGATTATTTGAATATTTTAGTGGAAAACATCTTAAAAGCTGGACTAAATAAGAATACAAACCATTATGACATTCCCACAGAACTTCATATGACAAAATATATTATAGAAGATCAATTATCAATATTAGAAAAAATATTTCCCAATTTAAGAACATCAAGCGAATCTTCGAAACCTGTCGATAAAAAGAATCAAAACTCTGAAAGTAAAATTTTTAATAAAGAACGTAATAATGCTAAACTGCAAGAAGCCAAAGCTAGAAACTATGATGTCGTAGTAGTAGAAGATGATGACTCGGCAAATGTAAATTATCGTTAAAATTGCGTAAAATGATTTTATTATTATTTTTTAATTTTCAAGAGATCAGGAATGCAAAAAGAAAAAGAGAAAGACGGAAAAGATATAGCTACCCCGAAAAGGAGAAATCTTCCTGAATGGTCAAATAAAAAAGAACCTGAAATATACAAAAATAAAAGCGATAGAAAAGAAACAGAAGGTGTTGACAGAAATTCTCCGCAACCAAGTACGTCTTCAAATTCGCAATCTGATGAGTCTCGATTATCAAAAAAACCAAAAATAGATCGCAATATTCATGATTATATTTCAGTCGTCTTGCCAAAAGGTAATACGGCAAAAAAATTAGAAAAAGCAGCACCTTACAATATATTTCTGACAACAATTACCGCTTCGCCATTAACTCACCATGAACCACTTTCCATCACATTCCAAGGTATCTTATCGAATATTATTTTTTTCAATACGAGTATCAGCAAATTTTTTTTCCATTTCAGAAATTTTAGATGAAAGTTTGGGTGAAATTGAATCATCATTGCAAATAAATTTTATGGTAGATATTGGGTGGCTCTTAGGACACTATTATTTTGCAGGATGCTTGTAATTATTTTTGCACATATTTCCAAATTTGTTTTATTTCATTTTGATAAAATTTTACAGGGATAAACCATTGCTGGTATTGTATGGGGATGAAACACCAGAATTGCAAACTATTTCTAAATCAAAGCCTCAAGTCACTGCAATAAAAGTTAATATGCCATCTCCTTTTTCAACTCATCATACGAAAATGATGATATTTAATTACAAAGATAATTCGATGCGTGTTGTAATTTCTACTGCAAATTTATATGAAGATGATTGGCATAATCGAACACAAGGTATTTGGATTAGTCCAAGATTACCAGCTTTAAATAATGATTCAGATACAATGGCTGGTGATAGCTCAACAAATTTTAAGCAAGATTTGATGCTTTATCTTGTTGAATACAAAATTCCAAAATTGCAAACTTGGATAGCAAAAATAAGAAAAACTGATTTTAGTTCCATCAAGTAAATTAGAATTTATGAAACTATATTATATAATGCATTAAAAAAAAAAAATTTTTAGTGTGTTTTTAGTAGCATCAGCGCCAGGTGGATTTAGATCCAGTTCTGTCAGAGGTCATCCATTTGGACACGCAAGACTAGGTTATCTTTTAGGAAAACATTCAGCAAAAATTGATGAAAACGTTCCTATAGTAGCACAAAGTTCAAGTATCGGTAGTTTAGGACCTAATGTTCAAACGTGGGTAGAAAAAGATTTTATAAACAGCCTAAGGAAAGATTCAACTCCATTAGGAATAAGACGTGTACCACAGTTTAAATTTATATATCCTAGTTATGGAAATGTGAAAAATAGTCATGATGATTTGTTAGGAGGCGGTTGTTTACCTTATAGTAAAACTACTAATGATAAACAACCGTGGTTGAAAAATCATTTATATCAATGGATATCTAAATCTAGATACAGAAATCAAGCAATGCCACACATAAAAACATATTGCCGGTGGAATGATGATGAATTATATTGGTTTGTTTTAACTTCTGCAAATTTATCTAAAGCTGCATGGGGCTCGTTTAACAAGGCTGCGAAAATCGAACCAGCTTTAAGAATCATGAATTATGAAGTTGGAGTCTTGTTTCTGCCAAAATTTATTGTAAAAACGAAACATTTCTACTTTAATCCTTTCATAAAAATTTAAAAACGCTTTATTTTTTGTAGACCGGGGAAAATACTTTTCCTTTAAAAAAGGATAGGGATGGTGTTCCAGCTTTTCCAATGCCTTATGATATACCTTTACGACCATATGGAACCGATGATAAACCTTTTGTAATGGATTATTTAATGAATTAATCGCTGCAAAATTTAGTTTTAAAAATTTTATTTTTGTTTTTAAATATACACTTGCATGTAGATGTTCAAAACCATTTTTGTATAAATTATTTCAAAACTTTAACTTTAGTTTTTGTAGTTTTACTTTTCTCATGGATTTTTGAAGAGTTTCCAGTCTCATTATGTAGACGTTCATGCTGTTTTTTATTCCCATTGTGTGCAAATGCTTTTCCGCAAAATTTGCATGTGAATCGCTTATGCGATAATTGATGCTTTTTAAATTCTTCTGGTCTAGTAAATGTTTCTTTACAGTAAATACAATTTAAAGAATTTTTTTTTACATGAATTTTTGAGTGCTCAACAAGTTCTTGATCACTTTCAAATTTTTTCCGACATTTATAGCATTGATTCGTTATAATTTTTCTTTTAAATAAACTTTGAAGTTGCTCTAATGCGATTTTTTTTTCATTTTCACCTGAACCAGTCTTTTTGGATTTATTGGCGCTTGTATTTTCTAATTCTTTATTCTTTGGTAAAATATTTTTTTGCTTTTTCTCTGTTTCATCAAATAACTTATGATATCTTGAATGATGATGTTTTAATGCAATGCATCCCATAAATTTCCTAGTAGGACACATTGAGCACTTATACAAATAAGATTTTGAAGATTTAGACCAATAAATTTCACCACATTTAATATTATTTTTTGAACCAAATTTTTTTTCTTCTGAACTATTTTTAATATTCTTAGAGTTTTTATCACTAAGTTGAGTTTTTGATTGTCGATCGGAAACTGTTTCATCTGAATCTGTAGAAAGCAAACTATCTTCTTCGTAATTTTCATCATCACATTGTTCTAAAGAATTTAAACTACTTTCTTCAAAATATCCATCACTGAATGATTGATTATTTTCTTTTCCAGATGAAAGTTGATTTTCGGTGTCACTACATTCTTCTGTTTTAACTTCTGACTCGGTCATTATTGTTGGAGGGATAGGTATTGGTTTTATAAAATAAGGTTAAAAAGTAAATATTCTGCTGGAAATACAAAAAAAAATGAAAAATTCATTTTAAATTATTGAACTGCATGAAATAAATTAAACTTTCTTTTTTACCTGCTTTTATCGCGCAATCAAAAGGACATCTAAGTCTGGGTATTGCTATGGCGTCCTTAAATTTAACAAACACTTGAAACACTACTGCCCGAATTAGGAAAATGGATTTATTAGAATATATTTATCAAAAAACTCAAAATTCGATTATTTATTCATGTGAATTAATTTTTTTTATTTAGTTTTGATTCTCTACATAATTTTGTATTTTTGCTTATAGACAATTGCTTTTTTCTATAATCGTTTGTTTTGTGTTTACAATTTATCGTCAAATAATATGAAATTTCGTTCTGTTGTAAACATACCCTTGAAAGTAAAAAACTCACCATGAAATAATTCAACTATGTTCAATTCAGTTCAACTAAATTATTGTGTCGATATTTTCCAGTTATGTCAATGTGATTTTTGGTTAATTAACCCTGTAAGTCCGTAATACTTTGATAAAATGAAATTTAATTACATTTAAGCCGAATAATTGATCCAAATGTCTGTCATTTTAAAAATGTTTTTTGATATAAATACTTATGCACATCTTATTATTTCTTCATTTACGCTTCTTTGGAGGGATTTTTATTTTAAAAGCGTCACATATGTATCTAACAAGACTGTTCATAATTCAAAGACATTAAAACAATTAAGTATCAGTATATGGTGGTATCTCAAAATAAATTACAAACTTCTCCAGGTTCTTATGTACATACCAGCTAAAACGCAAAGAACAATCTTAATTTATACCGTTCAGTTTGTGTGAAATGATTACGCGCTGTCGGTTCTCAATTTAAAGAATCTCTTACTGACAATTTAATGCTTTTAATTCCAAAAATAAAAATAACTTATAATTTTTCAGATTTTCTTTATTTCTTAATTTTCATTATTAAAATAGAGTATTATACAAACTAAGGACGTGTGATGAAAACCAGTTGCCTTAATATTTATAGTAAAAAAAATTTAAGCGTAAATATAAGTTGATACCAACTTACGTTTCTTTATACTAACTGTTTTCTTTTATATTAATAATACACAAAACTATTTTACAGTTGATGAAAATATTACTGAATTTTTGGACTTGCAAAATTTCTTTTTTGCTTTTCTGTTTATTCATACAAAATACGTTTAGATTTAGTTTACATGCTTGTCTTCTTTTTCTTTAATTTCTTCATGTTGCATTTCATGATGTTGCTTTTTATCATATTCCGCGAACGTACTACCGCAAAGTTTACATATGTATGGTTCTGGTCCAGAATGTTGAGTATGATGTGATTTAAGATCTTCCATATTTGAAAACTTTTTCCCACAATATATGCACAACAAAGGTGTTTTACTATTATGAATTTTTGTCTTGTCTGTTTTCCTTTTTTTATTTTCAAATTCTCTGGGTAAACTTTTAAGCTGTTCTAACGCAATCTTTTGAGCTTCATTCATTTCAGTCTTGATACATTTGATGTTATCTAAAAACAAATGCTATGTGCATTAGATTTTCTATATTTCTAAATCGAAATTTAATATTAGAAAAAGTTACCATCGTTTTTCCTTTTATTACGAGATGTTGATGAATTCTTTTGTGATTCATTAAATAAAGCGTGACATTTCTTATAATGATAAGTTAAGGTTTTAAATCCATTTGCATGACACATTGAACATGTATACAAGTAGCTATTATAGACTTTAGACCAATAAATGTCACCACACTTTACAGTGTCGTTTGATTTAGTTTTTTTTTTCTTAACATTTTTATTTCTGCTTTTTTTTGGCATTTTTTTGTTGGGTTTACTTTTATCATCAGAATCTTCATCACTACATATATCCAATCCTGATGAATTCTGAATACTTTCTTCAAAATAGCCATCACTGCATTGTTCACTGTCTTTTTTGTCATCTACTTCTTCATTTTTGTCAAAATCCAAATCACTACTTTCATCAGACTCTGTGGTATTATGATCATTTTCTTCAAAGTAACCATCTCCACATTGCTCAGCTTTGAGATCCATTTCCATTATCAACTCCTGCAATTCAGTTTCAATGGGAACAATTAGTTTAATAAATTAATATAAACTTGTTAACATAAACCGCAAAAGTTTTTCCCGGGTAAGCACCCACCTAAAGTTACCTCAATGCTTCCGGATACCTTAAACTTATTTAATTTTAGAATATTTTCAACTACGCGTTTTTATTATATTGCATGTCTAAAATCATACTCTTTATAAAATTAAAAAATAAATTTTTGGCGTTTGTTTGTTAATTTTTGGGTTAAAATTTAAGTTGTTTTTTTTTAAAGAAAATGTCAAAACAACTGTCACATTTTGCAGTTTGATTTTGATATTTAGAGTTGGAACTTATAAGTTTTTGAAGTTTGATACTATTGTAACACAATCACTGAGAAGGCATATCTTAGCACATTATTTTATTGCAAAACAAACGTTATAAAATAAAAAACGAATTTATGAAGAATTCAAACTTAGTGGTTGATTCATTCAAAGCGTTAAATTTTATTTTTTAATACTCTTTCGAAATTACATTTTTTCACTGGGATCAAAAGCATTAACCTATTCAGTAACAAATAAACTCGTCACAGAATATGATTTTTATTTAAGGAATTTTTGCAATAATTGTTTTTTTGTATGTTTTAAAATCAAGATCTTGATGTAAAATTTTCAACACACCGAAAACCAATTAATATTGATCGCGACACTCCGTATGGTCAAATATCTGCTTTCACTTATGCTTACACCATCATTGCAATTTACAAAATTACCCATTACTTATATAGTATAAATAAAACAATCACATATTTTTCTGCCAAGCTTTTAATTATGTCTAAATATATTTGAATATTGTATGAAAATATTCTTATAATACGTACAACATACAAATTCTAGGATTCTTATCTTATAAATTTTTAATTGGAAGATTTTATAAGGCATATACATTTTACTGTACATACTATTCTAATGTTGCATTTCAATTATTTTCAATTAACTTTTATTCCTTGCTGAGTCAGATACCTAAGTAATTATAAATTATTTTTAAAAAACGGTTGATATAAATACAAAAAAAAAAATTAGAAATATTTTTAATATACATACATGTATATGTATTTAAAAAAAAAGGAAATTTAAGCTTGAGTAAACTCATATTTTAAATTTATAATTGCTATTCTTATAAAATATGTTTAAATTTTTAGTAACTCATGTGTTCGCTGCGATGTAATTCAACACTGCTTTTGAAATGCTCCTTTAATTGTTGATAAATAAAATTGTGTACAATTTTTATTTCTAATACTTTGATGAAATCCATTTTTATACAACTCTTTTAAAGTTATTTTAAAATAACCAATGAAAATAAAACTTATTTAAATTTTGAGCTTTGCATTTAATATATGCTTTTAGGTTTAAATTTCAAAAATAATTAAGGTGATATTGAAAATTAGTTTCTTTTCTTTATCATTATACATGTAAATTTTCATGATGCTGTTTTTTATTATAATCTGAAAAGGTTTTTCCACAAATTTTGCACGTAAATGGTGTTTTTCCAGAGTGAGTCGCTTGATGAGCTTTTAAATCTGTTAATTTCAAAAATACTTTCCCACAATATATACAAACAAGAGGATTTTTTCTGTTGTGAACTCTCGAATGATCAAGTAAATTTAGTTCACTTCGAAATTCTTTCTGACATTTGTGACATTTAGTGATAGTGTACCTTTTGATTTTTGGTAAATTCCTCAATTGTTCCAAGGCAATTTTATGGATTTCATCTTTTTTTATTTTTGATGCTGTGTCTAAAATATAATTATATAGGTAATTAATTCTCAATAAACATTAAACAAAACCTAGAGGAACTGTTATTTTTTTTGAATTCATAACTTTCTTACCTTTTTGGTACTCTAGTAATTCTTCTCCTCTTCGTATTTTGAAACATGGGTGAGATGATCTATAGTGGCTTGCTAATGCTTTACATGTCGCAAATGTGGTTTTAGGGCACATCGTACACGTGTAAGAATAACAACTGTTTATTGTGGACCAGAAAATTTCTCCGCACTTAATGTTGTGGTCATTGAAACTTTCTTTCTTAGATTCCTGAAGTCGCCGATTTCTAGTAAAAATTACATTGGGTAGAATTTCATTAGGCTTATATTCCTCAATGTTTTCATCAATGCAAGATATTTCGAAATGTTGGTGTTCAGGCTGAAATTTTTGTTCTTCATAGTATCCATCTGTTTGAGAGAGTTCAGTATCTTGTTTGATTTCAAGTTTCATTTTACTTTCCTCGAAATATCCATCATCGCAAGGTTCGGTTTTAATGAATTGCGCTTCCATTTTTTTTCAATAGAAAATAACTATATCAAATCGGAACTTAACTTTAATAATAATTTTTTATTTAAATTACAATTTAACCCCACAATTAGAAAATTATAAATTAGGTTATATCTAAAATAATACACGAAATTATTTTGTTCGAAATTTTTCAATATTTTTTAAGAAACATTTATCTTATTGTACTAAATCAGCTTTTCTGTCAAACCAAACGCTTTTAATTGCATGGAATAAAAGAAAAATATAAAATCAAATTTCAATTTCCACTTCTTGAACCTTTTAAAAAATATATTTTTTTTTCTTAAATCAACAATATTAGAAAATTAATATAAACTTTACAAAGGTTTTTATATAAAGTTTTTAAGTTTTATTTTAGATTAAAGGAAATTAAAATCTTAGTTAATGTTTCGGGCCAGCTCTAGTTTATATTACTATTACTAAACTTCATTGACGAATAAATGTCAAATATTACATTTTTATGAGTTTTCCAAAAAAGACTTGCCGTTTTCGGAAATTAACCATGTCTTTAACTCTTATAACAAGCGACTAAAATCAAAAGTAAAAAATTTTGCTAAATAACATTATAACTTGGCAACTGAAGCTTCAAAATTGTCGCTTACAATACTTTATCGATATAATGCTATAGCCGGAAATATATATTATCAATTAACTTCAAAACTTTGAAATTCGTTTTTCCCAACTGTGTAAATTTTGAATTATGCCAGTGTTGTCGCAAACAAGCGATAAGTAACGAGTTTTAGCAAATACTTGTGCAATACAAATAAAAGTGACTTACATATTTATGCATGTATTTTAATTGTTTAATTTGCCCTGAAAACAATGAAGGAGCAAAAAGAAATATAGCTCCTGGGTTATTAAATGTAATCGTACTCAATGAAACTGCAACCGCATACTGCAACTTGAAATTTAGTTTATTTTATAATTTTTACAACTACTGTCTGACATTTTTTTTTTATTTTTGGCAGTATCATTTGTTATTTTTTTGTTTGGAAATTTTAAATGTTTCAAATGTTTTTAAGTTTTGTAATTAAATTTTGTGTTTTAAAAACGTTTAAAATCTTAAAGCTGTCAAGACATATGTTTCTTTTGGTTATGTCAGAAGATTTTATTTTAAGTAAAAATTTCAAAACGTTTTAATTAAAAAAAAATAAAATAAACAAAATTGATTCACAAATGATTTTTCTAAGTTTTAAACTTTTATAATGCAAAATCAAAATTTTTGGTTTTTTGTATTACCAAAATTCGGTTGTTCGTATTTTACAAAGTTTTCAAAAGTTTTTTAAACTTTTCCGTCTGGCTTGTTTCTTTTTCAGAATGAGTTTTTTTGTCACTGATCTCGATGTCACACTGTTTTCTTTTTTTAGTTTTTTCAAATTGAAAAAGAGAAAACGGATGAAAAAGGGAATCCTTCATAATTAATATTATACGCTTGTGCACAAAATTCATAGTTACTTTAATAATGTTTGTGTTATTTTAGAAACGAATTTAAAAGAGTTCAATTTTTCTAGCTTTTTTAAAAAATTCATCATCACTATAATTTACTCAAATAACGATATTTTTAGGACAAAATCATAATGAAATAAAATATTTGAAGACCTTTCAATCTACGATAAAATGAAAACATTTCTACTTTTCCTTCACTATTTTATTATTTCGCTTTTCGTTTTTAGAAAACTCCTTTGAAAACTAAATCATTCCGTTCACTTACTATCCACTTCACCAAAGAAAACTCTGCTTTCAAGTAAAAAGTTCAAAATACAAAAAAAAAAAAATCAGTATAACGGGATATTTTGTGAAAAATGCTGAAATTTATAAACAGGGTGTGTTACAGTTTGTTTTTTTTTTATATAAATATAAAAAAAAAAATTATATTTAAATATTTTAACAAATAATTAAAATTGAATCAGATCAGATAATAACGGCCTGATATTTCATAGAAATTTCAACTAGGGAAGATTTAGTGTAATTAAAAATGCATTATTGAAATTCAATTAACTTAAGCTCTTTAGGTGTTTAAGCAAATATTAGATAAAGCAGAGCAAAATCTTGTGTAATTGAATGAAGTAATTGATTGTGAATTTAAAATATGCATGGAGGCATGTGTTTAAGAGTTTCTATTAAAATGATGAAAAATTTTAAAAACGTCCCGCAATAGTATTTGTTTTTGTATAAATTTATGTTCCAGAGAGCCACTACTGGTTGCATTTTTTTTATGTATAACTACAATTGCACTCAAGAGACTAATATATATATATATATGCATGTTATATTTTAGATAGTTTGTTATATATTTTTGTATAATACTCAAAAAATTCGTGAAAAAGAAACTTTAAAAGAGTTAAACGTCTCCATACATAAAAATGGAAAGAAAAATTTCCGCCTCAAGAGTACTTTTTGTATATGGCAGAAGCAAAAGATTTTTCATTCTTGTAAACATAAATGCTAAGTTATTTATGAAACAATTATGTTGAAAAGATTATATGCGAAACATAAAAAGAAAAGAAGAATCCAATATGTGAGTAGATTGTCATTTGATTATAAAATTGCTAGAAATTGCTGCATTTTGTTGAAACAACATGAATTTGTACCAACAAACACCTTTTTTAAATCTAAATTACTGCATAAATGTTTGTTATTTCATTGCTATTACAAATTTTGTATCAAATTATTTTTTTTTCAAATATTAGAAAATTTATAAAATTGTTTTAATTTGATCTTAGGATTTACTTAGTAAAATCTCATATACCACATTATGTATTAATTTTTTATAAAAACGAATTTGTCATATGTTATTAAATAATTTATTTTAGAACAATATATTGTTTTTATAGAAATGAATTCGGTGAAATCGCCTAGTTCTTCAAATAATTTAAAAACCTTTTCAATACGGAAAGACACAGTTGAGAATTCTGTAATAAATCCAACAACAAATGAGGTATAAAAATTATACATTTTATTATAATTATAAATGTGTTAATCAATTAGAATTATTTTAGAACATTCATAAGAGTTATTATAAGGATCAAATAAGAACTGTTAATGACGATGCAAATATTGTAGGTGATGGAAATAAAACACTTTCAGCTATATCAATTTTATCTAAAAGTTTATCAAAAAAATCCAATACAAATAGAGAAGATGAAAAAGATAGGAGACGTGAACTTCATAAAAAAATTATTCAAGAATTATACAATCTTGATATAAGAGCAAAAAAAGGAAAATTAGAAAAAATAAGATATTTTTTAACAAGCGAAAATACAGACCAGCCTACAATATACTTCAATGGTGATCAAGACCTAAGAAATAACAGAGTTCTAGATAAAAATACAGAAAAGATATTAGAATCGAAAAAAATTGAAAATAATAATTATGAACCTAATAAATTTAGAATTGTGCAGTCATTGAATTCTTCCCCTTTATATAAAAAAGAATCAAAAGAAATAGATCTTCGACAATGCGGTGACAATGGTTTTGATCTGATTTCGAATAAAAGTTATAAATTTAAAAGGCAACAAATTAAAGTCAGTGAAAAACTCGATAAATCATCTTCAAATAAATATTCAGAAAGGAAAGAAAAATCTGACAAGGAGGAAAATTATAAAATAATAGAAAATATTTACTGTCAAAGTTTGATTAGTAATAAGAGTTCTTTAGGTTTGCAAGAAATTAATAAAAATCAAATTCCTCATATAAAATCCTCTGATAAATCAATAGTAGAGACAAAAAAGTATGACAAAATCGTTAAGAGATTATTGAAACACTCTTATGATCTCAAAAAATTACAATATGAAAATATAAGACATACAATTCAATATATGCAACGTTTAGATAAAATTGTACAAGAAAACTTATTAATTTTGTAAATATTGTTGAAGCGAGAAATTAATTGTTATAAATTTTTAAAAATAAGAAGTTTTATGATTGGAAAATGTATTCCTTTATACTTTAAATTTTGAAAACAAGAATTTAAATAAATTTTACATAACATTGTGTCAAAATGGCGTTAAAATTGAACCTCGAATAACAGTTTTATTTTTTTCTGTAATAACATTTTGCAGCTTCTGCATATATTTTCTATGTTTTTGAAATTTTTACTCTCAATCTCTGTTTTTATTATTTATCGTTTGTTAACTGATTTAGAACAATTTATGGAAATTATATTTTTAGTAACGTGGAGTTTTTCATCCCGGAAGGACGTACTTAAATAAGTGTAAACCTATAATATAGTTGTTTTATGTCCGTTCGTGGCTTTACAAAATTTTTCTAAAATAATTTTTTTTTCTCTTTTTTTTTCTTTTGGTTGCGATTTTCCTTTTTGTTTCTCACTTATTTTGTCTCATTACATTAATAATTATATATTATTAAAATATTATAAGTGAATGTACAAATATAAATATGTATTTATAAAATATAAAAAATATCGATGAAATATTTTTTGTTATGTAAAAAGTTTATAATTATATGTATCCAAAATAGAGACGAAAAAAGACTTTAAATTATGTAGGTCTGTACGTGTAATGTGAAAAATTCCGGTGGGTTAAGTTAAAGCTGTATTCATGTATTTATTAAGTAAAGAAGAAAAAAACTAAACAGAATAATGTTAATAACGTAAATTAATGGTATTAAAACCTTATGATTTTAATAATTAAAACGAATGGAAATGGTGAAAATAATAGAGAGAAAGGATAATTCGGCCATACCGCATTTATTTTAAATTAAATTTTAATATTTTATCTTAAAAAGTGGATTTTTTCTTTGGAATATTTTAAAAATATGGTATACATTTGAAAATTAAAAAAATAATTAAAAAGTATAAATTTTTATAATATTTTGGTTAAGGTGTCAGGTAGTGCCTCTGCAATCAATGATATTAATGTATATGTATATATTTTTATTATTTAATAAAGAAATGTGTGGTTCGTAATGGAAAAAAAGCGAAAAGAAGTGAATATATGAGTACAAGATAAATATTAATATAAAATAAAAAATTGTAAAAAATTGTGTGCAAATATAAAATATTAAAGCTCCTGTATTACACTTTTAATTGGAAAGTCAAACACAAATCATTAGTCAAACACAAATCATATTTACAGAAAACAGCTAATAAATTTTATATTCAAGGTGAGTTGTCTTAAGTGGTTGGTAGTTAGTACTAGCAGTAAATCATGCATAAGGTTTCTTAATTAAGTAAATGTTTACAAAATAAGTTCATTATTAAGATTTTAACATTCAAAGAAAATTCAATAATTATGTGTTGTATATATTTTTTTTAAAGATTAGGAGAAACTGGTTTCACACCATATATATAGAATGTAAATTCATGGAAATTAATTGAATTATGTCAGTTATAAATTTAATCATATACAATTACAATATTAAATTTTGTATACAAATTTTAAGGTGGAGGTTTAATTTTTGTAGACTCTTGGACTCCACGACTATATAATAGAGTTTTGGTTTTATGGCACTGTATAATATGAGCTTCTAAATTTGATTTTTTCCTTGGCTAGTATTATGACCGTATACGCCTGCCATATATCTTACCGTTAGAAAAACTAAACTTGTTGTGAAAAATTATATGGATAGTACAATGGCTGGCTATATTACTCTTACTCGTATAATTTTCTGGAAAAATAATTTTTTATATATCTTTTGTGAGCAATTTAAGAACTATATAAGGAACAATAAGATATTTCAATTTTTTATAATTTCTGTAATTATACAAAAGGATTCAAATGATTATTTTCAATTTCATTTAAATTGGAGCTTTAATTCCAAAAATAATTTCTAATTGAGAGGGAAAACTGATGTTATATAGTCCTGTATTGTTTTCTATAATTAAAATCAAATTTTTCTTCTCATCTTATAAATATAAGCTGTTACTAGAAACGTGTTATAAAATATAAACATTAGGTACACAACAAAATATATATTTGTGTATATGCAAAACTAATTAATAGGGTACCCTACCCTATTAATTATTTTTCATTCCCGACAAAAATTCAGGAAATGAAAATGTCAAATAATTTTGTAAAAGAAAAAAGAAACTTTTTGAATAGAGGAAATGAACTCATTTTCTTTGGTTCATTTCCTATTCTTTTGATAAAAAAAAAAACTCATTCTAGTTAATTGATTTTTCATTTTAAATTAAAATTTCTTTCTTTTTTTATTATTTTTTTTTTGTAAAAATCAGTATTTTTATGATATCATAGCAGTTGTTTTTGCTTATTCTTTTCCTTAGTATAACACTGTTTTCATATAAAAATATTAAAACAAGGAGTTACCAATCCTTTGTGAAAAAACTTGTTTTTTTTTTTTACTGTGTTTTACTTAAAGTGTCACTACACTACATCATCGCATTTAAATTTTTATATTATACAAAGGAAGCAGACACGTTTTATCGTATATCTGTATACAAGTATATGAAAAAGCAAAAACAAAACTTACAACTTTAGTGAGCATGCGTCGAATTTGATCATCTGTTTTTGATTTATTTTTTATAATTACGTTTATTCCATTCTTTGTTTTTATCCTTCTCTTCCGTCTGAGTTAATTTTTTTTGTTTTTCTTGTTCTATTCTTATAGTAAATAACTGTAAAACCGACTGAAGCAGTTCATTTTCTCTCATTTTTTTTATTTTTGTATTTCTTTCTTTTACAATTATTTTTTCCTTATCAGTTAAAAGTTATCATCAATTTTCTTCGAGTTAGTGTTGCCAAACTTCATAATATGGTATATAATGGTAGAAATCGAAGGGAAGAAAACTAAACAAAACAAAAATAAAAAAAAACATAAATAAGAAGGAAAATTGAGGAAGAATAACAAAAACAAAAAGTAAATATTTTTTTTTGCTATTTTCATTCTTTTTCTTTATTCACAATTACTTATTACTATCGAAAACAAAATAAAGAAAAATATATAAATGAAAAATAAAATACCCGGTTATAATAATGTTTATTATTATTATTGAAGGAACAAAAAAACAAAAAGTGGTTAACTCTTCCCCCCTAAAAAAAAGTATAGGTAGACCGTACCATTCCCATTTACAGAAAAATATTTAAAAGCTAGTGACACGCGGTAAAAATCTTTAGTTGTCGGAGAGATTTTGAAGTGTTCGGAAATTTTTAATAATTCATAAAAAAATAAAGAAAATATAGAAAATTTAAAAACAATTATAAAATAATTGAAAAATAATAAAAAAAAACATATTTGAAATTTTTAATAAAACTTTTAATTTACTATTGTGAATGATTGTGGATTGAAAATATAAAAACAATCTAAGAAATTTTTTAATGTAAAAATAAAATGTGCTTTTAATATTATAAAACTCAAGTTACAAGATAAAGTGGAAATTTATTTAAAAAAAAAGAAAAAGAATTGTGAAAAGAAAAAATTTAAAAAAAACAAAAATTCTCAAGTACTTAAGGAAAAAAAAATAATTATAAAATAGAAAAGCATATTTTGAAAAATTAAGGGTAATTCAAGTCTAATAAGGATAATCTCAAATTGATGAAAATTTAAATCGTATTCAAAGAAAGAAAAAATTAAAAATTTGAAAATTTTTGTTGAAACTATAAAATTAGTAAGTGCGTCTAAAAATTATTTAGAAAATTTTAATTTTTTAAAAAAATTTTTGAAAATTTAAGAAAAATAATTGATATTTTTTATATTTGAATAATAAATAATAAAAGAATTCAACAACAGTTAAAATAAATGATGAAAAATAACCCAAAAGAAAAAACAAGTAATATAGATCTTTAAATTTATGTCAAAGACTTCGGCACTTTGGATTGCATTTCATTTTTCTAAACACAATAATGCAATTGACAATGTAATTTTTCCCATATTTCTAAATCGGTTTGGTGGATTTAAGATTTTTTGGTTATTGGGCTGGAATCATGTTGTATCTTTTAAAAATTTATTAATTTATTACTGTCAATTGATTGAATAAATAATATTAATTAGAGTTCGAATGAAAAATTGGTAATTGATGTATAATCAATATTTTTATTTCGAAAAAAAAATTGTGTGCAGAATATTTGTAGATTAGAAACTTTAATGTACTTTTATAGGTCAGTTTGTTGGAATCAGGTAACCCCATTTTTCGCCAGTGTTTTTTTGATTTATGATAACAATTAATTGAATTTCTCGGTAACTTTGTATTTATCAAATAAAATGAAAAAATTTCTATGCTTTAAAGATTCTTTTTAGAATTATTCAAGTTGTTCAGCATGATATTCGTAAATCCAATTTTGGATATCTGGTACTGGTAAATTTCCTCACATATTGGCCGCACAATGAATGCATTAAAATTACTCAAAATTGCAATTATATTATGAGAAAATAGACTTGTTCTAGTCATCAATTTTTGAATTTAATTTTTTTAACATACAACAAGTTATCCTGTTTTTTAATTGCGTGGCATTAGATAATTGAAATACATATTTATTTATTTGTTTGATATTAATAGAAGAAGGTTCAGAAAAAATTAAATTTATTATTTAATTTAAAAAAATTTTTTTTAAACCAAGCTTTTCCCCCTTTTTTTCTCTTGTATAATTTTGTTTACGCAATTCTGTGATTTTTATATAATCAAGTAGATTAATTTATAAATATTAAAAATGCCATAATGATTAATTTGAAGGGGAAATTGCTATTATAAATTTATAATTAGTATAAAAAATCATCTACACGTTAAAGTGTAAAAAAAACTAATTGTAAGAGTGTACAATAAATGAGTGAATGAATTATAAAATAAAAATAATGAAAATTTTTTAATTGAAAAAAATTCTATACATAAGTACACTGTGATGTATGTTTATACAAATAAATTATTACAGGGGTTATAATAAAAATTGTATAGCGAATTGAGATTAAAAGTAGGAAGCTTACTAATTAAAATTGTATTTATAATTATTGCAGATTCCTAATGAATTGAGGTATGATTTAAATTAGGAAAGTAAAAGTTTTATAGAATACTTTTTTAAAGAATACGGCACAACATTAGGTATAACATTAGGTATTTAGAAAGCTTATAAATTGTTTTAGAAAGCTTAACAAAATTTGATTAATTTAAATAATAATCGAAGAAAATATAAATTTTTAAACATTTTAAAATAATTCAACTGCAACTACAAAGAATCATTACAAGAGAGTTATTTAAGAAATTGCTTGGTATTATAAACTTAAGGTATTCTCACTTATTTCTATAATATTGTTCTTCACAAGACCAATTGAAAAATTTGGACAGAGCTTTTATAATGAAATTATTTTCAACAACTTTGTTGCTAATTTAAAAAATAAGGCCATATTTATGTCATTTATGATTGTATTATTTTTTTTAAAATGAATACTTGGTTTAGTTTTAAGCAAAAAGTTCACTAAATAAGTTGGAAAATAAAAAAATATGTTTTTTTTTTTTTCTAAAATTTAATGTTCGTTTATAGTAAAATTTAAAATTTAAAATTGTGCGGTTAAAATTTTAACTATAGGTTTTAGTGAATTAATTTACGAATACTATGGAATTATTATAGGAAAAATCTATGCAATTATGAGTCGGTAATCGAGGTGTTTTGGAGATATTTTCAGTTGTTTCTGGATTTGATTTTTTTCTAAAAAGAAGTGTTACTTTCTAATAGCTAATATCACATTTACTTTCAATTCGAGTGGTCTTAAATTTTAAAATGCAGCTTACTTTGTTTAGAACTTAGGATATTCGACGTAACTTGGTAAAAACCTAAAAATCAGAACAATTTTATTTTTAATTCATTTTATGTCAATTTAAAAAGTTTTCACCAATTCCAATTTAAATATAATTTTATAAATAAGAAAAAATTATTCTCAAGAACAATTTCTTATTATTAATATTTTCCAATTTCTTAATAATCTTAAATTTTTTATAATCAACATTTTATTGAACAAAATATATGTAAAAACAAATCCACTTTCAAAAAATCTCAATGGCGTTAAGATTTTTATTTATTTTTTATTTAAAATTTATTAATCAATTATTTTGTCATTTTTCATTAACGAAATTATTATTTTTTTATCGTAAATAATTTTGATTTATATATATGTACGCCTCTCCAGCAATATTGAATTCATCATCACCAATTAATAAT